CGCCCGGATGAAGATTGCCTGAAACGCCTTGTATCCAAACAAGGAGTACGGCGTCTGGGCACTGGCTCACAAATACGCTGAAGAGGTTGTATTTTTTAGGGAGAAAGGCGATCCAGAGCCGGAGTCGTTTGAAGCATGGGCGCACGCTGAGCTGCCGGAACCTGGTCGCCCTATCCCGCGTCAAGCACATGAGTTTCTTTCTAACGAGGAAGATGAATAAGATGGAGGGGACGATAACCAGGTGGACCCGTCTGCAGCTCAACAATGAATTTCTACGGCAGTATGCCATTTTATTTTTTCTGTTTCAGCGGTTGTATGCCAGATTACTTTCTTTCCGGCCTGCATGCCGAGTATATGTTGTTTTTACCGGCTGAGGAGTCGAGTTAATTAACAATTTACATCACTTTCCCGGACGAGGTCTGGTTAACAATGTTCTACCACACCCGTTTTGTTGGGTAGTTTTTTAATGAATGCGTCGACTGAGTCGGTTTTGATCACTATGCTCTTGAATTTTGCATTTTTAATTTTTGCAAGTGTGCTTGAAATTTTTTGCTTTTACCTAACTTATGAAAAGCATGCGACAATTGATAATCCGGCTGCTCTTGCCCCTAGGCGGATGTGTGGTTGGTTTCACCTTTAAATCGATTGATTGGCTTGGAAACGTTTGATGCTTTAAAGAGCATGATATGTTTGCAAGTCAATCAATCACAACAGTGATTGCCCCAAACCAAGTACACAACTGCTCATATGACAGGCTTCCAGGAAAAAGGCCGATCAGCCCCTCAAGCGCTGAGGATCAGACGGAAAAAGGCCGTCTGGGTATCAGACAAAAGGCAAAGGGCCGCCTGTACTGTCATAAGACAGGAGGCAAATGGCCGCCTGAGGGGTTTGCAATCCAATTATGCTTTCCAGCCTTGGGAAAACGTATAGTTTCGAAGGGTAATTCAAATTACTTAGGTCAGGCGGCAATGAGTTGAACCATACCGCCTGTATGTATAGGTGCACTTTTTGGTAGTGCTTGTGATGATTGCACCCGGGGGGTGTTACCGGTCGCCTTATCACTCATTGGAGTAGACGAAATTCGAATAACCATCCGACCATCGACCTCATGTCCTTTTGACGTTTGTGTAGCCGTTGCACAACCCTTGTTGCCTCGGTGGGGGGGGGGGATTGGTGAAACTTTGGAATGAAAAGCTTATGAACTTCGGTCGGTCACCGACTGATGTCTGGGGACATCCGGTATTTCGAAAACTTAATCGTTCTTTTAACTTTTTTGGTCAAACGGCTATGAGTTAACCAATTTGGTCGTTCAAACTTTGTCGTCTGCATAAGTACGCAGAGCAAACAGGTAGGCTGCCCTCTGCGACGATCGCACCCGGAGGGGTGTCGCCGGACGCCTTTGTCCATGTTGGGACAAGAAATTTTATAAAACAAACAACCATCCAGCCATTGGCCTCTTGTCTAGGTAGAGGCCGGTTGTATAGCCACTAAGCGGTTTTGTGCCAAGTTTAGTTATCTGGCCAATGGCCTCATGTAAAATGAACGTTGAATTGTCTACTAAGTTTCAAACTTAGAGAGTTCAATAATTGGGCCATCTGTGAATTTCGCTGACGGCCTCAAAGCTTGAAAAAGGGGAAAGAAAATTGAAAACAAAAAGCGATTTCTCATTAATAAACTTTTTGCTTACAAAATTTTACAACTCAAAAGTAGTACTTTTTCAAATTGTCACATTCTAAGTCCTAGGCAAGCGCCTGCTGTCTGGCGGTAGGTGTCGTTTCTAACTTCCTCATAGATCCGATAGGGGCCTTCCCAATTTGGAGTCAGCTTTCCTAGTTCATTGGCCCTACCGGTTGCCTCCATTTACCGTAATACGAAGTCGCCAACTTTCAAAGGGCGCTTGTGCACTTTCTTGTTGTAGGCTCTTGTCATTCTCAGACGGTATATCTCATGATGCAAGACGGCATTGTCCCTGCATTCTGGGAGAGAGTCCAATGCCAGACGCATGGCCTACCAATTTGCCTCTTCATCATAAACCATTACTCTGAGGGTAGGCTTGTAATGTTCGATGGGCAAGATGGCTTGAGCACCGTAAACCATGAGAAATGGGGTTTCACCGGTTGCCTCTTTGGCTGTTGTCCGGATTGCCCATAGGTTATCAATCAACTCTTCTGCCCATAAACCACCGGCCCTTTCAATTTTCTTTTTTATGCCGTCTGAGATGAGTTTGTTAAAGGCTTCAACCTGGCCGTTTGCTTGGGGTCGGCTGACTGATGCAAAATAGTTAGAGATCCCTCGATCCCCAACCAAGTCTTGAGCTGAGGCGTCTCAAACTGAGGGCCATTATCAAACACCATAGACATAGGTACTCCAAACCGAGTGATGATGTTCTTCCAAATGAAAGAGATGACATCCTTTGTCTTGATGTTCCTGACCGCCTCCGCCTCCACCCATTTAGTGATGTAATCCACAGCCACTAGAATGTAATGTTTTCCGCCTAGCGCAGGCGTATAAGGACTTAAAATGCCAATGCCCCATTCTACAAACGGGACTTGGCTGAGGATGGCCGTCAGATTAGTAGTCGGGCGGTGAATAAGTTTGCCAAATTTCTAACATTTGTCACATTTCTTCACCAGCTCTTTGGCTTCTGCCTCAAGGGTAGGCCAAGAGTAGTGTCACCTGGCTCTAACGGTTAGGGATCTGCCGCCTATGTGGGAGGCGCAGTACCCCGCATGCAACTCTTCGAGAACTTCCTTCCCCTTTTCTAGGGTAACACATTTCAGAAGAGGCTTCAAAAACCCCGCCTTGAAGAGTTCTCCGTTTCTCATCTCGAAGTTTGTCGCTTTCTTTTTCATGATGGCTGCCTCCTGTGGCAAATCAGGGAGCATGCCATCTTTCAAGTAAGCTCGGTTGCCATCCATCCGGGAAAAGCTTCGGTCCAGAATTCCAATGGGGCCTTCATATATGTTTCTTTTTTCCAAAACTTCCCAAAAGACTGACCGAGGCGTATCACAACAGGCGAAAGATGCTAATTTGGACAAGGCATCCGCTTGGTTGTTATCGGACCTGGGCACTTGGCTAAGAGTGAACCCTTCGAGTGTCCCAGCCTCTTCTTTAACTGCCTGAAGATAATTGATCATTGTCGGATGGGTAGCCTCATATGTACCTTCGTACTAGCTAACGACCAAATGAGAATCAGAGTAGGCGTCAACTTTGGTTGCCCCTGCTGCCTTACACATGCGGATTCCAGCTAGTAGGGCTTTGTACTCCGCCTCATTGTTTGAGGCCTCAAATTTGAACCGTAGTGCATACTCATATTTGTCTCCTTCTGGAAATTCATAGATTATGCCTGCACCACAGTCGTTCTTTGTTGAGCTCCCATCTACATACACTTTCCAAACCTGATCAAGATTATCCGGAGCCACCGACGGGTCATTTCAAAAATGAAGTCGGCAAACGCCTGACCTTTCACTGCCTTTCTTGGTTCTAAAGTGATTTCAAGACTTTGCATTTCTATAGCCCATTTAAGCATTCTTCCGAATGACTCCAAGGTAGACATTGGCCGTTTGAGTGGCTGGTCGGTGTATATCAACACCGGATGTGCCAGAAAATAAGGCTTCAACTTCTTGAATTCCATATACAAAGCAAGGCCAAAATTTTCAACCATGGGGTACCGGAGTTCAGCATTTTTGAGTACGTGGCTAATGAAATAGACCAGGAGCTGGACGCCGTCCCTTTCTGATAAGGGAATAAACCCGCGTCGTCAATTGTCTATCCCTAGATCAAATACAATTTATACAACCTAAACAAACCTAATACGAGTATAAGGTGAGCATAGGGGTCGAACCACAGAGAACGAATAAACACCACCAAATGTAATCGACAATTAAGCTAGTCCGGAATAGGAGATAAATAAACTAAAGTCTAAAAATGCTTAAACAAGAAATAAAACATTAAGGGTTCGTTTGGCATCGCTGTGGTTTTCTTTTTTTAGTTTTTTGTTTTTCAAAATCATATGATATATGTAATATAATGAATCAAAAATTAGTCAAATTTATTAAGAACATGATAATTTTGAAAACTGACAACAGAAAAGTGGAAACACCTTTTTCTTGTTTCTTGTTTTTGGTTTTTTGTTTTCAAAAAAATCTGAAAACTGAAAATAAAAAACGATGCCAAACAAGCCCCAAGGGAAATGATTTAGGTATATCATTCACTTGAACATAAACAAAGGCATAGAAATTGAATTAATTATGAACTAAAGATGCATGAATATCGAAGTAAAGGATCCAATCTAGTCGCCTTCCGGGGTCAATTGGCTTCTCCTAACATAGCCTCTATGTTTCCACATTAGAACCATATACTAGGAGGTACTATTAAATAACAATCGATAATAATGAACCTTAGCTAAGTCAACTTCCGTTCCTTGTTAGCAAAGATTCACCTTTAATCACCCAACAATGTGCACTTGCAAGAAGATTAAAGAATATCAAGCATATAAAGACTTTAATCACAAATAAATCAATTCTAAACTCAAGAACATGCTCAAGATCCAACTACACCACAACCATCCCCTTAATGGGGAAATTACTCACTAATCATGCTAATAACAAGATTAATTAATAAATAATCAAGAATAAACATGATTAACAAGCAATACCAACAACTAAAATAATAATCAAAATAAAGCAAATAAAAATAGAGGAGAGAGAGTTAGAGATTCTCATTGATTGAAGATGAAAGTCTATAGAAAAGATGATCAATTTCGTCTTCAATATCCAAGTTCATTAATGGTGAAACCCTCACTTTCTCTCTCTAAACTACCCTAATCCTAACCTAAACCTAGAGAGAGAAGCTCTCCTAAAACTAATTAGAGAATATAATAGATGGTAATTGAATCCCCTAACTACCCAAAAATGGGTATTTATACTAAGCTAAGAATACTAAGTAAAAGAAAAGAAAAGAAATTAAAAAGGAAAAATAAAATAAGAAAACTATATATAAAAATAAAAGAAAGAAATAAGAAAAAGGGAGAAGAAAAGAAATAAAATTAAAAGAAAAAGAAAAAATTAAAACCCACCAATCCCACCAAAACAATCCGCCCCTACTTTTTTTTCTTCGAAATTGGCTGCTCTAAAATAGTGTTTTAATCCCATGCTTTGCATCTCACCAAAGAAAACTAACAACCATCATCATCAAATCACTACCGCTCATCATCATTGAAAATCGGCATCAAGCCAACACCAGCGTTCGATCCTCATTAAAAGCCACGTGAGAAGCTCGTGCTACGGTTCAAAATGAACCTAAAAGAGCGCGCCCGCGTAAGACTAGGCCGCGCCCGCGGTGGTTTGAGCCGCGCCATCTCCTATACATCTCCTCGGCATCTACCGATAATTGGATAAGGGGTGGAAGGACAGGGTCGCGCCCGCGGCAGAAGAAGACGCGCCCGCGGCGGCCTGGGTAGCTGCAGTTGCGAATTTGGGCTAATTGATTGTGGTGGCTGCTGCTCTGAGTTGCGGTGGTGTTGGTGCGCTGCTTTGATGGTCAGGTGAATTGCGATGGTTGGTAGATGTGGAGGTTGTGGTGGTTGTAGCTCGTGTTGGTGAGGGAGGTACAGGGGCTGTTGCGAGGTGAGGGTGGACGGAGGAGGTGTGAGTTGGGTGGCTGATGGCGGTGATGTGCGTGCGATTGGTGGGCTGATTTGGTTGGTAGTTTCTGGCTGGTGAGTGGTGTTGCGGATTGGTGGAAGGAGGCAGTAGTCGCTTGATGTTGGGTGGCAATTAAAAAGCTTTGACTTGGACCTTGAACTCGAGCCTACACACAAACAAACCCGAGGATAAAAGTGTGAAATCAAGACAAATAAAATAAAATAAATAAAATAAAATAGAAAAAGAGAAGTAACACTAAACTATTAAAAATCAATAAAAGTAAAATAGAAATAAGAGAAATAAAATTAAAAATAATAAAGACATAAAACTATACAAGTAAATAAAATAAACTTAAAACTAATTAAAACTGTGAAAGTAACAAAGAAAAGGAACGAAATAAAATAAAACGAAAGCAAATAAAATATGAAAATAAACTAGAAACTAATTAAATAAAGAAATTAAATTAAAACATACTAAAACTAAGAAATAAACTAGAAACTTTATTAAAAGAAAATAAGAGAATAAAAGGGAAAATAAACACGAAAATGACTCTAAAACTACTCCCTAAGAATGACATAAATGTCACTCATCAAATTCCCCCAAGCTAAACCTTTGCTCGTCCTCGAGCAAAGCTAAGGCAAAAGAGAACAAGATGGAGTTATTGAAAGCAAAAGAAACAAAATAGAAACAAAGAGAAAGAATGTACACTAACTCACTGTCGTAGGAATCACGGATGCATTTAGCGTATGCATCAAGCCCTTTTAACCCCCATGTCGCCAAAGAGGACGAGTAAGCTCTCGGGAGGGTTTCCTAAGAGGTTTAACCCATAACTCTCGACAAAAACCAAGGCAAGGTGACAAATGGAAAAAGAGAAGAAACATGAAAAGAGAAAACAAACACAAGCTCATGTATGGACAAAAGATAGGGACAAGTACTAATGAATGCAAACCTTTCTAAATGGACAGATGCATGCACGTTCCAAGATGTCAATGGTTGATTGAAACATAACACATGCTAAGCATAGAGAACTACTTAGGACTCAATCCACCCTAGCCCCAACCAATCGGGCCACGTTCTCTCCACTAGCTTCAGATCAACCCTTAAGCTAGCTTCTCAAGATTCCACGAAGGAACCGGAAAAAGATAAAGAAATGAAAAACTTTGAGAAGGTAATCCCGACGTCTCAACTATGCATACTCTTTCCATAGGTTTGAATTCTATCTCCCTCCACCGTTCTTTTGACCTAACCCACTAGAGTCTAAGGGTCCTTTTATTGGTAGTAACGTAAGGCTAAGGGTTAAGGCGGGGTAAAAATTTGAAATTTGGTGAAATTTCCTAAGTGAAGCAAAAAGTGCGGCCGGCACTAAAAAACAACTCAAGAAGTCATTAAATATCAAACAAAAATACCAATAATGCCACTCCCCCAAGCTTATTCGACACCAACACACAATATATACAAAATGAAGGAATGATCCCCCCAAGCTTGAACAAAGCATTTTCTACAATGCTTAAACTAAGGAAGAAAACGAAACCATCAAAAATATTTTTATTATTTTTGTTTCTTTTCCAATTTTTTTAATTTTTTTTTTAATTTTTTTTAGAGATTTTATTCGTTGTCCTTGCCTTTTTAACTATGGATGGCTTTTTCTTGCAACATCATTTGATTTTCTTGAATTGCATCTTTCTTTTGAAACTCAACTCTAACCAAATCTCAAAGTGCTTCTTGTTTATGATCAATATTCTCAAAACTCAAACCTCACATGCCAATGCTTCACTAACTAAAAGGTTGGTAAACATAGGCCACTAGGTTTGTAACGCGGTTTAAACAAGAGCGGGAAACATAAGGCTGGAGATAAATAAACTAAAATCTAAAGATGCTAAAACAAGAAATAAAACATTAAGGGAAATGATTTAGGTATAGCATTCACTTGAACATAAACAAAGGCATAGAAATTGAATTAATTATGAACTTAACATGCATGAATATCGAAGTAAAGGATCCAATCTAGTCGCCTTCCGGGGTCAATTGGCTTCTCCTAACATAGCCTCTATGTTTCCACATTAGAACCATATACTAGGAGGTACTATTAAATAACAATCGATAATAATGAACCTTAGCTAAGTCAACTTCCGTTCCTTGTTAGCAAAGATTCACCTTTAATCACCCAACAATGTACACTTGCAAGAAGATTAAAGAATATCAAGCATATAGAGACTTTAATCACAAATAAATCAATTCTAAACCCTAGAACATGCTCAAGATCCAACTACACCACAACCATCCCCTTAATGGGGAAATTACTCACTAATCATGCTAATAACAAGATTAATTAACAAATAATCAAGAATAAACATGATTAACAAGCAATACCAACAACTAAAATAATAATCAAAATAAAGCAAAGATAGAGGAGAGAGAGTTAGAGATTCTCATTGATTGAAGAAGAAAGTCTATAGAAAAGATGATCGATTTCTTCTTCAATATCCAAGTTCATCAATGGTGAAACCCTCACTTTCTCTCTCTAAACTACCCTAATCCTAACCTAAACCTAGAGAGAGAAGCTCTCCTAAAACTAATTAGAGAATAGAATAGATGGTAATTGAACCCACCAATCCCACCAAAACAATCAGCCCCTACTTCTTCTTCTTCGAAATTGGCTGCTATAAAATGGGGTTTTAATCCCATGCTTCGCATCTCACCAAAGCAAACTAACAACCATCATCATCAAATCACTACCGCTCATCATCATTGAAAATCGGCATCAAGCCAACACCACCGTTCGATCCTCATTAAAAGCCACGTGAGAAGCTCGTGCTACGGTTCAAAATGAACCCAGAAGAGCGCGCCCGCGGAAGACTAGGCCGCGCCCGTGGTGGTTTGAGCCGCGCCATCTCCTAGACATCTCCTCGGCATCTACCGAAAATTGGATAAGGGGTGGAAGGACAGGGCCGCGCCCGCAGCAGAAGAAGACGCGTCTGCGGCGGCCTGGGTAGCTGCAGTTGTGAATTTGGGCCAATTGATTGCGGTGGCTGCTGCTCTGAGTTGCGGTGGTGTTGGTGCGCTGCTGCGATGGTCAGGTGAATTGCGATGGTTAGTAGATGTGGAGGTTGTGGTGGTTGCAGCTCGTGTTGGTGAGGGAGGTACAGGGGCTGTTGCGAGATGAGGGTGGACGGAGGAGGTGTGAGTTGGGTGGCTGAAATTGAGTGGCTGATGGTGGTGATGTGCGTGTGATTGGTGGGCTGATTTATATAGACAATTAAAAGACATAAATAACAAAAATTAATAGTAAAAACAGAGAGTGTTAAACACACATATTGCCGTGGAAATATTCATACCACATCATTAGCAGAATAGAAGTAGAAAAACCCAAATCAATTCAACATCATTATTCTAAAATTAGGAAAGTTAAGGGGAAGATGAGAATGGAACCAAATTACCTTAGCAAGCCGTTAGGGGAAAATGAAACCATAGAGGCTGTGGCAGTAGATGATAGAGGTGTTGGCAATAATGGCAGCAGGTCTGCCACAACACGGAGATTCAGAATACAAAATATTTTTAATGAACATAAAAGAACCAGTTCAAATGATACATTAGCTATGTTTTTATCTCAGATAATAAACAAATCATACCTTCTGGCTATCTATACCCTCATCCAGATCAAGGTGTGGCACTAAAGTTGCATAATAAAAAATATAGGGAAATGGTTGAGTCACATAATCTATAAAAGTGGGAAGTGGGATTTTCAGATGATCAGTAAAAGTACAGCTAATATGATTTCATAACACTCTACAGTTTGTGCATATTTGACACACACCAAATTGAAGTTAAATCTAACAATCTAAAGCTATACACAACTAATCATCAGTAAACAATAGAATGAAGAGAGAGATTAGAAATTACATCAAACACCAATATTTGTTTGATCGAGAAGAACAACATCAGATTGCTTTGCTGCTGCAAGGGTCTCTTCTAGCAATGGAATTCAATGTTCTGGAGGCTCTCTTCTAGCTTTCTTATGGATTCCTCTTTGGATTTGAATTCTTGCCTCGCTTTGTCAAGCTGGTGCATTGTATTGAAGGCACAGTTGGGAACATGTCAAAATTTTCTTCAATAGACAAAAATGTTATAAAAGCACAAAAAAAAAACACGAGGCTACCAACATCTTTGTTTTTTGAAGCTCGCTTGTATCAGTCTGCCATTTTTCTAGGGGAAAGTTCAACCCCACGAACTCGATTGAAAAAATTTAGTGAGCTCAAAGTCTCACCCAAGTCCTGCTCTGATGGGCTAATTTGTAAAAACATTAATGTCTCAGAATCACCTCCTGCAAAATACATAGAGCAGAATGCAAAATGTGAGCAATATCAAGAACAACCTTTATAAAATTACTCCAAATGAAATTTCTAAACAAAGTCAGTTATTTCAATGAAAATTAGATATATTGAATTGACTTTTAAAGGCAGGAATATTGAGATAATTTACATGGTTGCTACGTACTCCTACCATCAATTATTTCTAAGTACATGCATTATTAGATTTTTTTTAAGATTTTCATAGGATAATCTCTTAATAATTAATAAACTAAATTAAGTTGGATTAATTAAAGTTAAAAATACATTAGTATGGACAAACGATAACCTGTAGGCAATTTCCTCGTTTATGTTCGTGAATTGAACCATTCATCAGTCAACAACTCATCACCCTTTATGAAACATGGATCGGAGTAAGACAAATAGACAATATGGTTGACAAAGTCAATCTGCTGAACTCATGTATGATTGAATGTAACAACTGATCAAGGTCTAACTTTAAAAACTAATATTTCTAATTTTTGATAAAAGCTACCTTCAACACTAAACAGCCAAAACGAAATTTGTAAATGTTTTAAAATGTTAATTTTGTAAGTGTAAAATTAGAAATAATCATGGTCGACATTACATATTGTCCTCCTCACCTTTTCTCTTTTCCTCTATCCCTTCCTCACTCCTTCATACCTTCTCTTTGCCTTGCATGACATTCTTGCCATCTCTCTTCCCCTATTTTATTTTGTCATCCTCACCTTTTCTCTTTTCCTCTATCCCCTCCTCACTCCTACTTCCTCATGTCCTCACTCTATCATACCTTCTCTCTACCTTACATGACATTCTTAGCCATCTATGGTTTGAATTGTGACAAATTTTACATAAATTAGAACACGTATTTTTCTGGTAGCCTACAAAACAATTATAGACTATAATTCATGCCCACTTTTTGGTAGCTCAAAAGAATGCTTCCGTGTTATGTCCATAATCCACTCTTTGCAAAATTCTACCCAAGATCATCTTTACTCAAAATATTTCATAGTTTGCATGTCACGGTAATAGACTATAGACAAATAATAGTGAAAGTTTAAAGTTAGACTTTTACCAGGATAATGAAGCATTTGTGAATTAAGATATTTATATATCATTTTTCTTTAACAAAAGCCTCAAGCATGCTTTATAAACCTCTTTAGATAGTCTTTTTTCTACAAATTCAGTTGTTCTAATGTCTAAAAATTGAACTAAATTCAAAATACCTTAGAATCCTTACTGATAATAGCAAGCACGATCTAAATCATTTAGGACTTAAAATAGTTCCTTCAACCTCCTACTCAAGTGACTCCAGCAGTCAAGCCCACCCAATCCCAATCAAAAACCTACCTGCTGCCAATGTATGCAATAACCCCAAAATTGCACTTGCATTGTATAATATTTTTCTTCCTCCTCCGTATATTGGTGTTTGTACTATTTAACCTGAATCTCTTGATTCCCAATTCGCTTCCAAAAAAATAAAAATAAAAAATTAATTACAAACTAACAAAGAAGAATCAATTCAAATTATTCTGAAAAAAATAATACTGAAATTAGAGGTCGATTTTAGTTTCGAGGACGGCTAGTTTTGCAAACATTATCTTCATTTATAGTAATCATCAATTACAATTTCAATTGGGGTTTAGAACAACCAAAAAAGTAATTGTTCATATCATCTTGATTCACAAATTCACATCTTATGCTTCTCAAGAGCCCCAATAAAGGCTATGGTGGAGTATTTGCTGCTCTAAGTATATCCCTGCAATATTGACTCTTCCGTTTAGCTAATTCTAAAAAATGAAATATGTACATCAGATAAGTTTTTCATTACAATTAGCCTTGCAGAACAAATAGCGTTAATAAAATAAAAAAACATAAACAACACCAAACAAAATAAAAGCCTTTTTTGAAGGATGAACCAATAATATCTATCCATTTACCCATCCTCCATTGCTTCTATTTTGAACACATCCTCTTGCAAGCCCAATTTCTTCACATCCTTTTTAAATCCCATTATCCAAGTACACTTACAACACCCTTGACTTCTTTTATAATATATCCACATTGTCCCAAGACTACTAGCCCTCCAAATTCCTAATCAATGCAGTCTCCAGGTAACATTTCACATGCCCTAACCATCATAACTGACTTTCCCTCATCCTTAATAGCCGCAATAACACACACACGATCACAGATCAAAAAACATATATACACTAAATATCAAGCTCAAATGGAAAACTCATGAGCATCATTTCGCAATCAGTCCCTTCTACAACAGGTTACCCAAATTTAATTGTTTACATTTCTAAACTCATCGAAAACAAACCATTAGGACCAATCTTAACACCCCATTTTATCATTTATCCCTTCGTCACCGTTGCATTACTAAACCGAACAAGTAGTGTCATAAGATAATGCTAATTATGTACTACCTCACAACAACATGCTCAATAAAACAGAAGCACAAAACAAAACCAAATGATTTGATGAAAATTTTCAAAAACAAATAAAGTTTACCTTCCCAAGCATCATTATACTCTCCTCCCATGAGAGTATTACCCCTAGTAGACCTCTCATCACCGTAACATAATTTCTTTAAACTAATAGCATAAAATAAAATTATTGTTCAAAATAATCAAGGTGAATACAACAGAAAGTATTTAACACACAATGTCTAAATTGTATTAAAAAAAATAGTAATAACTCACATTAAGCATATAAGCAGTCCATCATTGCTTTCTCTAAATCCAACTGCCTAAACATAAAAGAACAAAATCATCAGACAAAACTAACAAAAATTTACAAAGCCTAATTACTAACAAGGATATATCTAGAATCAACCCAAGAACAGAGCAAAATTCCAGCTGAATAATGTAGGTAATACTAATAAAACCATGAATTGAGGTTCTCACTTTGTTATGGATAGAAAAATTGATGAAATTGGTATCAACTATAAACCGATAAGGCGTCTCAAAGCGGTAAATAAGGCAGATGATACATTAGGCCTAATTCACACCCACAAAAAACAAAAATTGAAAATTAACATAAATTCGTTTATACCCAATAAGTATAACTGCTTAAATCTAGGGGTGTCAATTCGGTTAAACTGTTCGGGTTTGGGTTGGGTTTATCAGTTTTGGGTTATAACGGGTCGGTTTATAATGGATTGAAATAATAAGCGGGTCGGTTTGGGTCGGTTTTGAAAATTATCGGGTCAGTTCGGTTTGGTTTTTTTAATTGCAGTTTCTATTCGGATCGGGTCCTTATCGGGTCGGGTTCTAGTCGGTTCAGGTCATAATCAATTTGGGTTGAATTGGGTCGGTTTGAAAACGGGTTTAGCCCATTTAATGTGGGTTTCGGTTAAAAACAGTTTGGGTCTTAATCAGGACGGGTCGTAATTGGTTCGGGTCATAATCAGTTTGGGTTTAACTGGGTCAGTTAGAAAATGGGTTTCGGTTCAAAATAGATCGGGTGAAATCGGGTCCAACCATTATTGTTTCGGTTATAATCGGTTTAGATTGAACTTAGTTGGTTTGAAAACGAGTTTACCCAATTTGAAACGGGTTTCTAATCAAAATCATATCGGGTTAAAATTGAGTCGGATGATTATCGAGTCGAATTAATCAGATAATGGGTAGGAACGAGTCATGTTATAATCAAGTCAAGTCATAAATAAGTTGGGTTTATCGAGTAGTGGGTTGAAACAGATTAGATCATAAACATATTGGGTAACAGGTTGTAAATGACTCAGTCATAACGGGTTACGGGTTTTAAACGGTTTGGTCATAACGGGCTACGGGTCGTAAACGGTTCGGTCACAACAGGTTACGGATTATAACCGGTTCGGTCACAACGGGGTACGGGTTGGAACGGATTTAGGTTTATCGGATTTTTATCGGGTTTTAACGGTTTTCGGTTTAAAACAGGTCGGGTTACTATCGAGTTTAAACGTAATCGGTTTGGGTTGCTTTCAGTTTCGGGTTGTAACGGTTTGGCTTGATAACAGGTCGGGTTAGTAACGGTTTACACAAATTCGGTTTAGTTCAGTTTCGGTTTGGAAAAAAATTGGGTCGGGTCAGTTTTCGGTTTCCAAAAAACGGGTTTTAAACAGTTCAGTTCATTTTCGGATCGGTTCGAAACAGTCGGATTTAACGGTTCGGGTCAGAAACTGACAGCTCTACTTAAATCACATTAACAAAATTGGAGAATTTAGGAAGCTTACACATTTCTAGGAAGAATAGCGAATTCAAGGTATTTCTTTTTTGGGTTTAATACGTCTTACTTGTGCCTGAATTTGAATAAAACAATAGACAATCAAAGAATGAGTATCCTTCACTCGATGATGTTAGTATGGGACCATGAACCAGCAATCAATTATTCAACAAATTTAAATTAGGACCATGAACCAATGGCGGAGCCAGGAATATATAATTGGGGGGACGACAACTAAACATCGCATCATTTGAAAAAAAAAAATGAACGCAAAGATAGTTTTATAGTTAAAATTTTACAACTAAAAAATCCACAATATATAATTAGTCCTACAATAAAAAAAAGAAAAAAATTACATAAAGTTTAATATTAAATTATAATTGCATCCTTCGAGTCTTCATATTTTGAAAACGATCAATGATTTTTTCATCGGGAACTTGTAGGAACATTTCCTTCTCAATAAAAGTGACCAAACAATCATTCATAAGTTGATCACCCATGCTATGTCGCAACTTACTTTTGACATATGTCATTGCGAAAAACACTCTTTCAACACTTGCCGTAGCAACGGGAAGAATCAACATCAACTTGATAAGCAAATATACAAAAGGATATGTCTTATCCTTCTTGGTACTAACAAGCATCATGGAAAGAGAGTTAAGAACACGCAAGTTTTGAAATCTTTCATCATTGTGCATATTTTCCATGAATATATCAAGTTAACCTTCAAGTCATCAAATCAAAACTTGAAAATTCTTCCGGATAAAAAGAGGCAAGTTTGAGTACCTTTTCTTTGTCAAAAGATGAAAAGTTATCTTTAGGACTTAAGCAAGCCATACAAGTAAGTAACTCCATGCTTCTCTCATTGAATCGATCGTCAAGTTCATGAAGATGCAAATCAATTACCCCCAAAAACATTTCAACAAGAAAATGATGTAGATTTGTTGCTTTTTTGACAAACCGTCGTGATCTTCCTTGAGGAACATAAAGAGCATCCATGGTGGGAACATCAATGACTTGTTTAGCGCAAAATAAAGTAACCTTCTTTAAGAGAGTCTCCCACCCGTATTCCCTCATTTTTTGTAACACACTTTTTGTGAAAGTAACTAGTTCTATGGCATTTATAATATCTTGCTCCTTTCTTTGCAAAGCAAGACACAAATCATTAGTGTAACTAAACATAGTCAACATTAAGTAAGCCATAAAAATAAAATCAAATGACTCTAATTGTCCTAAAACAATTTGAGCTTTGAACTTATCTTTCGATGCACCATGCTTTCCAATGTGAACAGGTACCTTAACAATTGTAGAAAACAAGCGGATGATATTTACAAGACACTTGTAATGAGATCCTCAACGAATATCTCCGGGCCTCTTCAAACCAAGCTCTTGATTCAAACTCGATCCACTCAAAATTTCCCCCACTTCTAATGCTTGAGCAAGTTCTTGAGCTTGAATATCACGAATCATTTCTCTTCTCTTGCAAGAAACTCCAACAACATTCAGCAAGTTTGCAAGTATTTCAAAAAGTCAACCACAACTATCATTTCTTTTAGCAACGACAACTAGTGTGAGTTGAAGTTGATGAGCAAAACAATGTATGTAGTAGGCTCTTGGAGTATCATTCATAATCAAAGTCTTAAGACCATTTATTTCACCCTTCATATTACTAGCCCCATCATAACCTAACCTTGCCCTCTTATCATAGATGGACTCAATGAATGTTCCACAAGTAGTGACAAAATTGCATCTTTAAGAGATAAAGTGTTAGTATCACCAACATGAACAATGCCTAGAAATCTCTCCATTACCTTTCCACTATCTTTATTAACAAAGCGCAAAACAAGAGCTATTTGCTCTTTTTGAGACACATCACTTGACTCATCAGCCAATATAACAAAGTAATCATCACCAAGCTCTTCAATTATGAACTTAGTTGTTTCTTTTGCACAACAATTAATAATGTCTTTTTGGATCGGGGGAGAAGTCATTTGACAATTTCCGGGTGCATTTTCAAGAGCATGATCACCTACTTCCTTAACCTTTTCTCCTAACTATTTCAATAGTTCAATGAAATTACCCTATTATAAGACTCATCACTTTCATCATTCCCACGAAATGACAAACCTTGCCCCAAAAGAAACCTTAAACAAGTTAAAGATGCATTTAAGTGAATATAATATTCACTTTTAATCACCTCACTTGCCTTTTAAAACATGTTCACAATTAATTTATTTTTCCCATCTTTCAAGTTCACATACTTCTCATAAGCAAGATTATGAGCACTCTTAATTCCACCAACATGCTTCTCAAATCTTTCCGGCTTATTCGATTTCCTAAACCCTCCATCAATAAATGCATCACCTCCCATATTATTGTCAACTTCACCTTTAAACAAGTAACATAAAAAACAAAATGCGGCATCTTTTTCAATGCTATATTCAAGCCAATCCCATTTGTTGAACCAATTCACAATAAAACGATGCAAACCTCCCACTTGTTTGAGGAAAGTTGTGATTTTTTGGTTGGCAAGGTTTTGTGAGAATGTAAGCTCTCCTCACCGCATTTCTTTGATTTGGGGGATAGTCCATTATGTTCATTCTTTTCCCCGGATCATGAGGAAGAAGTTCAACATCATATATCAATTCTTCCTCCTCCGGTGGTAAATTACTAGTACTTGTACCACCAATTTCTTCAACATTTTCTTGAGTTTGGGGGGAGATAAATGAAGTGGGTTCATTTCCTTGAGATTTCATTCTCATAAACAAGAATTGTTGAAGATCGGGTTGTTTTCCCTTTACCTTAGAATTGTTTGAATTAGGTGAATTATTTGACATGTCCTAATTAAATGAATAAAAATAAAAACAATGAATCAATAATAATTCAATTGCCATCATATCATATAATCAATATTACCAAATAATTTAATACAATTATACAAATAACAAGTTATAGTTTTATAAAGTGAACAATTTGAGAATTGAGAACCCTAGCCTAACATTAGAATACAAACAATCAACCTCAACCATTTAAAAAAATATATCAGAATTTAAACAATTAAAAAATCACACTTAATTAAAAAAAAATAAGCACTTAAACAATTTAATTAAAATAAGATTTAGGGTTTGGTGGGTTAATTTAAAATTATAAGTTACTTACAATGAATTGGGGAAAAATCCAAAGAAAATTGACTTTTGCAATATATGGGATGCCAGTTGTGCAGTGGTGGCGGCGGCGCCGGCGCCAGCGTCAGCAGCATTGTAGTCGTCGCCTTGTCGGAGACTCGGAGTCCGGCAGTATGTCAGCGTAGTTGTGGAAATTACCTTTGTTTTGTACTTTCTTAAGTTTTATTATTATTTGTCTTTTAGTAGCTTTTATTGTTTACATTTTTTATTTAATATAATGTATGTCATGTCACAATCAAACTTTCCTTTTGTATTTTGGTTTGGTTTTGTCAGAGCCTTGCGTAAGTTTCATTCCTAAATCGTAAGTTTTGTTTGTTTCCACTTTTTTTTAATAAAAAAAAATATGAAATTTTTTTTAAAAGTGGGGGGACAGCTGTCCCCCCCTCCCTTCGCCTCTGCCATGAACCAATAATTTATGTTGTTCAGCCTGAAATTACTTTCTAATACTTTACCCCACCAATTACACACTATAGATGTCAATTTGAAAAGGAACAAAGCTATTTAATAATGAAAAATATAATAATAACCTAACCCCACAAAATCTGCCCATTTTGTTATCATTGTCTCATATTCCATTAATGTGGAAGGTGCATTCTGAGCTAGGTGAAAACAATTAAACATGGATAATTTAATATCGATGGGAAGACAGGGATATTTTAATGTCAATGGGATCAGCATCATACAAAGGCGCTTTAGTGTGCTTCAAAGGCTGGACTATGGGTTCCGATGTCAAGAATGTGGATCTCTCCGAAACGTCCATTTGGGTAAGAGTTGAGGGGCTACCAACTGAGGAATGCCAACCTCAAGTTACAAAAAGGATGATAGAAAGGATGGGAAGGATTATTGGATTTGATCAAGCTTCAATGGATGACAAACCTCACAGTATCATAAGAGCAAAAATCACAATTCCAAGAAATTGATGGGCTTGGAAGATAAAGAAAGATTTCGAACGACCAGAGTGAATCTAAGGGTATACCCTCATCCTACTCCTTTATCTCAATCGTCCGTGCATACTCCCCCAAATCAATCTCCACAACAAAACTCAGAGGGCAATGGAGACTGCAACTACCAAACAGGAGAGGAGCAGTCAAATGAGGAGTCTGATTCCTCCTCCTCTAGAGACTCGAACAACCCCGGTCCAAGTAATAGGAACCGTAAAAGAAATTCTCTAGAAGTTGAGGGTGATAGGGTCTTAGGGGACAGTAATAATGTAAAGAAACTGAAAAGCAGTCATCCGTCAACCTGGTTACATTCCACACGGAAAGAAGGTACTAAGGGAGAAGCTTCTACTTCGTGTAAGAAGAGCTCCATCAGAAACAGAAGAGGATTAGAAGAGTTGTCTCATGTTATTATCCCTGATCTCCAAGTAGGAAATAACAGAGAAGAGATGTTAAAGAGGTTGGTCCATCCATTTGTCCGATCTCAGAAACCTAAGAGAAGATATGCTACAACATGGTGCACTAGAACAAGTCCTTTGACTACTCCTGAAAGCCAGAGGCAGAAAAGGTTTAAGTTCTCGAATTCTCCAGATAAGGTTGCTGATAAAGGGGTTTCTTTGTCTTCGGCAATACCTCAGGGCAAACTTAACTCCAACCCTGAGGAAGAGCATAGGGTCACTCAAACAGTACAGGGTCAATCGGAGGAAGAGAACACAGAATCCACGGTCAAAGTTCCTAATGGAACGCAGACGGTTTCTCGTCCTGTTGTGCCTAATTTTGAGAATAACGAGTTTAATCCAGGTATTTCCTCCCCAACTACTTCATTTATGAACCTTACTGTCAATTTTGCTCTAATTGACCAGGCCATGTTGAACCCTGTTAAGTTTTATCCTTATGAGGGCTAGTTTTTGCCAAGTAAGCAACCGCGAGACAAAAAACTGAGTCTTTTAAGAGCCTCATTTATACTTACTCCAACCTTTCAGCCCTTTTATTTCCTTTCCCCCCGAATTTTGATCTAGGAGATTTGTTTCTCCTAGTCCCCCCAACTACTGTCATTGATTGCGAGTCAGGGGGGAACTTATCTGAGTTATTCATTTATTCCCTGCCTTATAATGACTACTCCCCGTTCAATTCTCTTAGTCCTATCTGGAACTATCATTTTCTTTTACCTTTTCACCCCCAACCACCAACTGCCTATTTCCTTCCCCACATATTGCCTTCAAGAATGGAAAGTGAGGACGACTATAAAGTCCTTTTATGCCCCACAGACAGAGTTATACCTTAAACCCTTTATTGGATCCCTTTAGACCTAAGAGCATTTTAGTTGACCCAATTATTAGAAGGATTGAGTTTTTTTCCCAAAAGAGATGATGAATGAGGAGGAGCTGAAAACCTACCGTAACTATCAAGCATCCCATTCCTACGTATCCCTCCAAACCCTAATGGCATCTTCTCCTCAAAAACAACCAATTTTTGACCTCAATCATTGTCCATTGGGGTCAGCTCATGCCTGGCCTAAGCTCAAAAGACATGCTGAGCCCTCTTCACCTTCTGTCTGTGTAAGTCCTAACGCAGACTCTCAAGAGCCTAATACCCCTCCAAACTCGCCAGCATCCATAGAGTCCTTTAATACTGCTCCCTCCTTAATTTCTTCGGACTCTTTGACTCCTCTTTTGGACCTGAGTGCTAGATATAGAATCAGGTGAGGAGTCATCGAATTTCGATCAGGAATTTTACTCTCACGACGAGCGAAAGATGTTAGTTAAGAAGAGAAAGAGAAGGATATTTACTGAGGGGAGGTCGAGGAAGAAGGCATGGAGCCTAGGAGTAGAAGAGGATTTAAAGAAAATTCTGAAAACAGATGAGGGAATAGAGAAAAGACCCTTGGAGCCAGAGGGTTTGGATGGTACACCTGGGAAGAGGAGCAAGCTGGACAGGGTGGAAAGATGTGTGACAACTTTAGGTTTGGACTTAGTAAGGAAGATGATCTTTGGGAGAAGTTTATGGAAGTGGAAGAAGGGGGGTCATCTACCAGAATTCAAGTGCTTAGAATTGCGGCAAAGGAAGACTACGTTGACTCGGACGAGGAGACGACCCTCAAGGAGGAAGTTCAGAACAAGAAGGAAGTCAAAGAGGAAGGTGACGGCGCGGCTGGCCCACAACCTTTGGGAAGAAAATGAGCATCCTTAGTTGGAACTATAAGGGAGCAAGTGATAGCAACTCCCTAATTTTCCCGGCAGTCAAGTTTTTAGCAGCTAGGCTTAACGTAGATTTTATTTTCTTATGTGAAACTGAATGTACTTATGACTCACTAACTCCCTTTTTTAGTAAATTGGGATATAATGGTAGTGTAGGCTATAATGTTGTTGCCAACAAAGGAGGCTTGTTCCTTTGTTGGTCGGATAGAGTAGTAGTTAGCGTGGTTGAAGTCCACTCTTTTGTAGTCCTTTGTAATGTGAATCAAGCAGGTGGTGTTCACTTTTATTTGGTCTGTGTTTACGGTAGCACATATATGACAGAACGAGAAGATATTTGGTCCAAGCTCCAGGACCTTATGATCATCTACTGATAGGCTTATCGCGTACCTAACAAAAATAACCTAACTATTCCTTCTAACTGTGTAGTAGGGCAAGTAAGGATCGAATCCCAAGAGACTATGGTTCATTCAATTAATCAGACTCAATTAATCACTAAGCACGTGACCAATCAATAATGGATGATAATAATCAACTAATTTATTAAATAACACAATTAACTAGAGGAAATATTAATCAATAAACTAAAGCATCCAAGATCAAGCATCACCACGATTATGATTGATAAACTAATAAATCTACCCCCAATATATAAATCAATTGACAAGAAGAAAAGCAATCCCTAATAATAATACCAAAGGTCTCTTCCGAGTTATCAATGGCTTCCCAAATTAACTATCAAGCCTACTTCCGTGGAATCAAGCGAATAAGGGACATTAAACACCATGCCTAGATTCCTAATTATTCAATCATCTACTTCCGTGATGATCTTCAAACCCTTAGTTGAAATAACCTAATCCCGTTAATACCCAACTTCCGTTGCAATAAGAACAAAGGGATGATAACAATACTAATTATCCCTAATCTAGTATTGGCATAAACACAATCAATTAAGCATGTCAATTGGGATTATTATTGGGGAATTTAAAGATCTACTTTATACATCAATCATAATCGGGCTTAGCAAGATCCCGGATTAAGGAAACTACTCAC